GACGGGGCGGGAAGCGGCCCCCCGACCCGGCGTGGGGGCCACGACGCCCTCCCCTCCAGGCATGGGGAGGGCTTCGGGGCAGAAATGCAGTCCCCCCTTTAGGGGACTGAAGACGATGAGGGCTGGGGTCCGGGAAGGACGGTGTTGGTACAAGAAGGGAAAAAACAACACCAGAAACAAACCCTTTCCAAGACCTTGTGACCACTAGTAACAAGAAGCAATAAAATAACAAATGACCTTCTTGGACCCAAAGGGACAACCTGTGGTTTCCTCGTTTGCCGGACTCCTGGCATCTAACCTGGTCTCTGAGTTTTATTTCTAATCTCTAAAAGCCTGGCCTTCCTACGCAGCCTGGAATTGGCCAAAATGCCTAAGGCCATGTAATCGCGCAAGCAGTCATGCTTCCACATTGATGCTTCCACATTTGCCACCCAGTCGCCACGCGCGCAGAACTTCGCAGGGCTCGCACCCTGTCGCTGAGTCCTCCCCTTAGCTCTCCTCACGACACTCCGCGGGCAGGCGTAGGGCTTCGTCCCCCTTCTGCAGAGAAGAAAATGAAGCTCGGATGTGCTGAGGGGCATACTCGGGGTCACGTATCCTGAATGGAATTTACCAGAGACTCAAAGTCTGATTTTACATTCCTGAGCCAGACACGATTTCAGCTTCTTGTTTACAAAGTGGTCCTTCATTTGGCTATGCTCTTAGATAACACAGCTTTCCTATTCTCCCTTGACAGTATGCCTAATAAGAATTATAATAAGAATTATTATAATAATTATTATTATTAAGAAAGCCTGGGCCCAGGTGAGCATCACTTAGCACTGTGTTCTGGACCCACAGATGTATCCACTAATCGATTTTTCAACCCCGGTGGTAGGCAGAGAAGGGAGCATTGCTTGGATACAGTAATTGCCTGCCTCCTCGCCAGAAGCAGGAGACGTAGATGGATGTTTTGCAGATATGATGGGATGTGAAAACACAAAATAAAATATGCAAAAAACACTGGCAACACAGTACACAGTTAAGTATTGGTTGTTGACCCTCATGACTGTGTGACTGACTGAGAGCTGGGACTCATTGCTACTGCCCAGCATGGTGAGTGAGTATTGTAAGGCATATCGCTAACCCAGAAAGATCAAAATTCAAAATTCTAAGTACAGTTGCTACTGAATCTGCATTGCTTTGCGTCATTGTAAAGATAAAAAATCTTAGGTCAAACCCTCATAAATGGGGACTGTCTGTATAACCATGTTCTGTAAGCTTTACAAGGTACTCTGTTCCCTGAGATTAGTAATTGATCATTACTTTATCGGAAGAGCTGTCTTTTTCTTAGAGACTCAAATCGGATCAGGATATAACTTTGGGTTTTAAAGGTTTACAAAGGAGAACTGTATTGATCATGTAAGTTTTATAAGATAGAAGTTTTGAGAATAAGTTATATAAGGAATGATAAAACAATGTTTCATGCAACCAAGGGACTTTGAATGTTGAAGAAAACCTAAACTTAGCTTTCATATAATCAAGGAATTATTAAGAGTTCAGAATAATTGGATGTTCAGATTCACATAATGAAATAGACTTATCTTTTACTTCCAAAATCTTAGGATCAACATTTGACAGGACTCAGGAAAATACATTATTTCATGACATTATGAAATGAAGGTCTAAAATTCTGCTGAAATTATCTAAAATTAACTTTTCCTGGTATTCTTTTTAACTATCCCCCCTGTGGACACTCTTTTGGAGATTTAGGTTAATCATAAGAAAAGCATCCAATTGTCTGGATGGGTATGAGTTTGGTTTGGTTTTGCTTTTTGACCCAAAGATTAGGAAATACAGATGATGACCTAAAATGACTTTTTCCAGGCCTGTGAAGCTGTGAAGTTCCAAATTTTGAATATTTTCTGTGAAGATAATCCACTCACCTATATTTATTTAGCTGTTTTATATTATATTGTCAATGGGGAAACTTCCAAATAATGTCATGAAATAATGTATTTTCTCCAATCCTGTCAAGTGTCGATCTGCTTTCTGTCCCTTTTCTTTATCTGCATTCACTCCCTTAGTAATTGCATCCAGTCATATGGCTTTAAGTACCATGTTAATGACTCCCACATTTATTTCTCCACACTAGACCTCTGTCCAAAACTCTAGACTCATATTCAAATGCCTTCTTGACACCTCTATTTGCATAGTCAATAAACATTTGAAACAGAACATATCCAAAGTGGAACTAACGCTCTTCCCAAATTCTGCTCCACGCTCAGCCTTCTTAGTTGATGGCAACACTTGTCTTCTTGTTGCTCAGGCCACAACTCTAGAAGTTGTTCTTGATTTCTCTCTTCCCACGTCCAATCTGTAAGGAAACCCTCTTTACTCTCAAATCATGTCCAGAATTCCGCTACTTCTCACTATTTCTATTGCAACCAGCCTGGACTGAGCCACCATCATTTCTAAGTTGGATTATCGCCATAGCTCCCCCGCCTCCTCCACTGCCTTCTGCATCCTCTAGTGTTCTCAGCACAGCAGCCAGATACCTTTTAAAAATGTCATGTGTCAGATTATGTCAATCCTCAGCCCCAAACCCAGCAATCCCCGTTTCACTCAGATTCTCAACCCAAGTGGTCACCATGGCCTACATGGTCCCAATTGTTATGCCCCCCTCCCAATAGCTCTGCCTTCTTCCCCCCTTCCCCCTGCCCCTTGCTCTCTGCTCCAGCCACTTTGCTGCTTCTCCAACATGCCTGTGCTAGGCAGGAGCCCACCTTAGGTTATTCATTCCAGCTGTCCCCTCTGCCTGAAATGCTCCCCTAAAGAGCCTCATGTCTAACTCCCTAACTTCTTTAAGTTTTTTCTCAGATGTCACCCTCTCAAGGAGATTTAGCAAATATTGTTTAAAAGCCCTAAATCCCCCATCCAAGTATTTCTGATCCCCTCTTGACTGCATTTTCTCTTTTTCATAGTACTTATTATCTTCTAAAATATTATACAATTTATTCATGTATTTGTTGCCTCTTTTTCTTGTTAAAACTTAAGCTCAATTCAAGAAGAGATTTTTGTTTTTGTCCATTGATGTCCAGGCACCTGGAATAGTGCTGAATAACTGAGTAAAGCTTGGCCTAGCTACTTAATTTCTCTAAGTTTCATGTTTTTGTTTTAGTAAAATAAAAATGACAGTACATAATTTGCAGAATTGTTCTAAGAACTGAACAGCTAATTTATGTTAAATATTTGTTATATAGAAGAGGGGCCATAAATAAT